CCAAGTGCTGGCAGTGCAGCAACAATGTTAAAGCTTGCAGCCAGGTCTAATGTCTCTCAATGGCCAATAAATGAGACTCTTCATCAAAAGGGCCATGGGAAAATTTTTTCTCTAGCCACAATTAATATTGATATAAAAATGTAGAGGTCCTGGTCTACCCTTTCAATCCTCTAACCCCATGATGGGAGCTAATCATCCGTTTACAGAGAAACTGCCAGATCTGAGATAAACGTATTTGGCTGACTCCTATGGAACAACTCAGCCAACTAGCACCCCTTTGTTAGGAACACAAAACCATACTCATAATAGAGCAAGGCCACCCCGGATAAGGGGTGCAGCCCTACCCAGAGCTGTACTCACACTACTGTGTCAGGAGACACTGACCTGTTTGCTACTGACGCAAGGACTAGAGCTAAAATAAAATTTGGTAAGCACCCTCTGTTACTATATTATCCTTCCTTTACTCTTTAAAATTAAAAAAAAAGAAAGAAAGAAAGAAAGGGAACAACTCAGACAATTGTGAGATAAAATAAAAAATAAATAAAATAAAATGGCCAGCCCCAGCTGGTACCCAGTGGCTCCGTGGTAAAAACCGCTGGCCTGTTACCTCTGGGGTTGACAGACAGATGCATGTTAGGACATCCACGGGCCCTCGGGGGCTGAGGTACAACCACAGATGAACCAGCCAGCCCTAGTTCTGATGCTGACCGACCAGATCAGTTTTTCACTGTTCTGATCACCTGGCTGCTATCTTTATTCTCCAACTAAGACTTAAAAATCAAATGGGGGCACATTAAATCCCTCACTATGCAGAGCTCTAAAAGACACTGCAGAGGGTGTTTTGTTATTAAATACAAAAATGGGAGCTAGAGATTTAGCTCAGCGGCACAGTGCCTGCCTGGCAAGTGTAAGGTCGTGAGTTTGATTCCTGGTACCGGAAAAAAAAAATACAAAAATAAAAACAAGAAAAGCCATTTTACAAAACTGAATGTCCCTAGAGCCACGTGTGGTGTTGCACGCCTGTAATCCCAGCACCCGAGAGGCTGAGGCAGGAGGATCATTCCAAGTTTGAGACCACCCTGGGCGACAAAGTGAGCTCAAGGCCAGCCTGAACTGCAGAGCAACACACTGTCTCAAAAAGACAAAACACACACACAAAGAACTGAATGGCCGATATTCTCACAGAAGCTCGAGGCAGCACATGTGCCCTCGTCCGATCGGGATGCTGTGTGCCTTCCCAACTGCTCTGCGAACGTCTCTGCGCTCCACCGTCTACATTTACAAACCAACTCGTCCACCGTAGCCTCTAATGACAGGCTGGCATCCTGGTTCCGCAATACAATCTGGTGAGAAAAAGTTCTCATTTCTGGCTGTGATACTGTTACATGATCCACTGTTGTTGTGAGCTAATGTCCCTCTTTTTCAAAAGATGAGGGTTCTTCAGAAGAACCTGGTATTCCTAGGTCTCCTTTAGATCAGTCAGGAAGAGACTTTCAGTCCCTGGCTTGGCAGGAACCACCACCTCAGCCTGAAGTAGTTACTGAAGACAGAACATCAGAACATCGGCCTTCTGCAACCCCTTAAAAGTAAGAGACCAGCTGTGTGATGGCGCACGCCTGTAATCCCAGCACTGGGGAGGCTGTGGCACAAGGACCGCCCCAAGTTCAAGGCCAGCCGGGGCTACACAGTGAGTTCAAAGCTTGTCTGAACTGCATAGTGAAATGGTCTTTAAAAAAATAAAAACAAAAATGGAAGGTAGGGTACAAGAAATAAAACTAGGTAGAAAGGAAACCAGGAAATTGAAATTTTTAAGTTGTACTTTTAAGAACTGCAGCTTTACCTTTTTTTTTCTCTTTTTTAGTACCGGGAATCAAACTCAGGACCTTGCGCTTGCCAGGCGCTTGTGCCGCTGAGCCACATCCCCCGCCCGAACTGCAGCTTTACAACAAGCTCTTTTCCTGCATCTGGAGGCCCATAGTGCGATCCCTCCGTCCATCCTACAGAGAACAGCGTTCCACTCCAAAGGCTCTTTCCAATAACCTGCACCTCTCCAGCACTGGACCCTCTTCACCTTTTCCTCCAGCCCCAAAAGCAGCTACATTAGAGACAGGACATCTTAAAATGCAGACTTCTACCTCAAGCCCATACAGATGCTTTGCCTTAGAACCTGGCAGACAGAATACACACCCAAGGTCACCCACACTGAAAACTGCTTTTAAATGTGCCCTCCCCTGGTTTCCTTTGAGCACCCACTCCTGCTCTAGTGCATCCTGTATCTACTTCTAATAAACCCTTCTCATGGATCTTTTACTGATGCATCCTAAAAATTCTTTTTCCATGATGGGAGTCAGTGCACCTGCGTACTTAAGTTAAAGGGACAAGCTAAACTCCGTATTTCACATCGGGCGTGGTGGCGCATGCCTGTAATCCCTGCACTCTGGAGGCTGAGGCAGGAGGATCGCCACGAGTTCGAGGCCAGCCTGGGCTACATAGTTCAAGGCCAGCCTGAACTGCACAGCAGGGCCCTGTCTCAAAAAAAAAAAAAAAAAAAAAAAAGTTCCTTATTTCAGCCTCAGGGAGCCTCAGATTCAGTCCGAGACAGGCCAGGATCCTGGTAAGACTAGATGTGAGGCATCAGCTTAGACAGATCACATTTCGAGTGTAAGTCTTGTTGGGAAAGAAGTAAATGATACTAACACCAACGTCACAGGTATGACCTGTAGATTAGGTGAGATTTGTTATTTTGAAAATGTAGTGTGTCTGACACATAGCAGGGGTCCAATAAATACCAATTCTTATTGCCGTGTCATCACCAGACCCTCTTCCCAGCACACAGTTTTGGAATACCAGGTACCCTTATCTATTTAAACAGAATGAGTTTGGCTTTTTAATAATATCTTACTTAGGGATATAGCTCAGTGGCACAAGCACCTGCCTGGCAATGCAGGGTCCTGAGTTTGATTCCTGTTATGCAAAAAAATCTTGGCTTTCCTCACAATAGCCCCCAGTGCTTCTCCAGAGTGTTCTTTATTTTGCCTTTTCCTCTTCTACTCAGCCCAAATTCACTGTATAGAGCCAGTTTCTCCCCTACTCTTCATTTTTACTTTCTCAAACTTTCCCATTGTTTTAAAAAAAATAAAAAAAAAATTTTAATCTTCAATCTACAGTTAAAGACAGAAAAAATATCAATAGTTAAATTAACTTCAAGGTTAAAAACATTACAATCCACTCCTTTTAGGTTTAAATCACTTCTGTGAAAAGGCGTCCTCAGCCAGGTGTGGTGGTGCACGCCTGTAATCCCAGTGCTCGGGAGGCTGAGGCAGGAGGATTGTTGTGAGTTCGGGACCAGCCTGGGCTACAAAGTGAGCTCAAGGCCAGCCTGAACTGCTCAGTGAGACCCTGTCTCAAAAAGACAAAAAAAAAAAAAAAAAGAAAAGGTGTATTCTATAGCTATAGATTTAAGATGCCATTTTCCTATAGACAATAAGAAACAAATACATTCAAAATAAAAAGCAAAACAAAATACACATTCAGTAAGTATTTGAAGGGAATGAGATGAAGACGTCTGGAAAAAATACTTCATCTACACTCACTGCATCCAACATTCACCGTGCACATCTTACTCACCAGGCACTCTGACCCGTACCAGAGATAGAGAACAACAGTATGTACAAGTAACCTTTCACAAGTTACAAGGGCACCTTATTAAAATGCCTGAAGCCAAAACAAACTCTCTTCCCCTTCCAATGAAAGCAGACTAAAACTGGATTCATTAAATCTGAAGAAACAAAAAATGCACACATTTTGAGTTTTTTATTTTGTTTCAGACAGCCAGACAAGACATCTACATACTAGAACCTCTTAACAGTCACTAAACATGTGAAAGGCTACTTACATTATAAAGGCAAAGAGAAAGGTCGTGATTGTCTAATAGGGAACACGAATCCCCAAATAAATTATCTTACAAAAATATCAAACTCGCTTTCCCACTTTTCTACTACTGGTAAATATGAAAAGAAAATTCACATTTAAAAAATTTGTAGGCTAATATAGTAAGTTAAGGCCATTGTTTTTACATATTAAGTAAGTCTTTCAAATAAATATTGTACACAAATTTAAGTTTAAAAAAACAGGTCAAGTTTTACCCTACATTTCTTTTTCTTTTTTTTGAAACAGAGTCTCACTATATAGTGCAGGCTGGCCTGGACTTACTATGTAGACCAGGCTGGCCTCAAACTCATGGTGATTCTCCTGCCTCAGCCTCCCGAGTGCTGGGACTACAAGCGTGCGCCACCACGCCCGGCTTACCCTTTATTTCTTTGGTCCACTAAAGGACCACTTATCAACTGACGTTAACCTAGACTACAGCTCATAACACAAATAGTAGCGCACACACCACTGAGACTGCACATGCCCAACGGCTGACACTCTTGTGCCCTAAGGAGTTTCACCCGCACAAACGAACAAGCCTATTCTGAATCGAAATGCAAAGAAAGAGCAAAACATAATACCTGCCTGCTATAGACACCTGCTCAGGCACTGTGAGAAGATGCAAACATAAAGATGACTGAGCACGGGGTAGAACTCAACACTGTCTGCACAGCTGCATGCGAGCGCACACTGGCACGTCTGCGGAGCGCACGCGCGAACGCGTGCGACAGAACTCTGGCTTCGGCGGAGTCTATTCCTGTTCTTTCATTCCGAAGTTTCACAAGGACTTCAGTCTTGATGGAGATTTAATAAAATAATGGTGCATTCAGTTCTTCTAATAACCAAGTACAAGAAGAACTGCAGCAGAACGTATAGGCCTTTCTGTATCTTCCTAGACTTTTAAAGCTGATTTGCTTTTTCTTGTAATGTGATGTTTTAATGAACAATATGCTAAAAACAAAATGGACCAAAGTACGGTTTTGTCCACACCATTCAATTCTCTGACTGCGAAAATACTGCATTACAAAATGAATCCGGTAAACTGCTTCCATTTGCAGAGGCCTGAGAGATGAATTCAATTTTTCTTTAATCAGTTACAACTATACCGGGCTAAGGACAGCAACGGTGACTCTGCACACTGAAGCCAACCAAGCGTCCAAAACCCTAAAACACTAACACTTTCCACCCAGGGTAGAAAAACGAGCACCCAAAGTAAAGAGAACCACAAGACTGGTCAAGTAGCCAATCAAAAACCACTTCTCTGTTATTCGAGCTAATAGTTACTCGGAGCTTAAAGTTTCCACCTTCGCTAATAGTGCTGGTTCCAAGAGTCACAGTTTCGATGTCAAATGTGACAGTAGATCCAGAAGTAACTGCAGGCAACTGGTTAGTCATTTCTTTTCCATTTACAAAAACTGCACCTAAAATGTTAAGAGTGAAAGAGTCATTTACCTGTAAGCAGTAACTCTAATAAGAGAATTGCAACAGCTTCTAGGTTACTGATAACAGCCCATTTCCTAAGTCAGAACAGGAAAACATTTCAGAATGAAAAAAAAGGGGGGGGGCGCGCCCACGGGAATATAGCTCAGTGGAATCGCGCCTGCCTGGCAAGCATGACGTCCCAGGTTCGATTCCCAGTACCAATAAAAAATTAAAAAAAAAAAAAAATCCAGAATGCCAGTGACATTAGTAACTAATTTAAATATGCCATTAACCTCCATCCCCAAGGCAGGACAAACGTTAAAGTCTTAATCACATTTTACCACTCTGGTACAGGGCTCTACTCTTTACCAACAGAGATGAAATGCTTATGTGAACGACATCAAAAAAATTTAATACCACTACAAAATCACAACCTGTGAGACAGCAAGATTGTATCATACGGAATAAATAAGAATCTTGTTGAACCTAATGTTTGATCCTAACCACAAGATAGTAAGAGGTCTTAGTAGTAATTTGGAAAAACATGATTACTCTGGAGTAAGGAACCATGAGCACTAGAAATATACAATAAGTAATCTTTCATCTGGATGTGGCACAAGCCTATACTGGGAGGCTGAGACAGGAGGGTCATAAATTCAAGGCCAGCTCAATCAACTTGGTGAAACGTCATCTCAAAATAAAATTGAAAAGGTATGGGGATGGAGTTCAGTATCTGAGGACAAGAAAGGAAGGAAGAAAAGGAAGAGAAAAAAGAAAGAGAAAAAAAGAAAGAAAAAAGAGATTGATCCTTTCTCCACAGTTTCCTAATCTCCACCATGATTACCGTGAACTGCCTGGTTCAAGTCTCAGCTCTGTTGGTTCTAAGCCCGATAATTTCAGGGTAGTTACTTAGCCTCCCTGAGGACTTAGTTTTCATCTCAGGAAGTATGAGCTGTGATCAAAAAACACTATAAGTGTTCAAATTTTTAAAATTTGTGTCTTTATGAGGCGGGGTGATTTTAAAAAAATACAGTGAATCTTGCCACCAAGGGCCATCTTACACAACGACAGGCTCACAAAAATATTACAATGTTTCTTCATCGGGCCGGGGATATAGCTCAGTGGCACAAGCACCTGCCTGCCAAGCACAAAGTCCTGAGTTCGATCCCCGGTACCGCAAAAAAAAAAAAAAAAAAAACCAACATGTCTTCATCTACTTATTCATTGGATTTGGTACTGTTTGGCTTCTGGCTCATCTTTAACTGTAATACATTTATTTTAATGTAAATATTCACTATTTTTATCACAACTTGGAGCTAGGAAAATTAAATGCTTTTTTATTTGTAAAGCATTTTATTTTTTTATATTTTGTTTGTTTTCTTGTTTTTCTTTTGGAGGTAGGGTCTCACCATGTAGCCAGGCTGGCCTCGAACTGGTGGTGGTGATCTTCCTGCCTCAGCCTCCCAAGTGCTGGGCATAGAGGTGTAAAGCATTTTAAAAAAATGCCTGCTAAGGATGAAGCTCATTGGTAGAGCATCTGCCTAGCACTGAAGAGTTCCCGGATTCCCTCCCCAGCCCTGGGGGAGCAGAAAGGTCTGAACCTTTCCATCTCCTTTAGAAATGCGTGGCCTGGGGCATTCATACTCATGAATATTCATACTCACTGCCACAGGGACTTATGCTTCCAGGAGCGCCGCGGCAATCTCTTACCGTTGGTACTGATGCACACTGCCTGGTCCCGCTGCAGAGAGTCGCACCCACTCTGCCTCTCTGCACACACTCCTATGCTGTCTCTGCGGTCCGGCTGCCCCACGGTCTCCACCCTGTACATGAGGTTGAGAGGTCATTTCACAGTTTTTCAACATAACCTTATACCTCACAGCTACTAACTTTAAAAGAGCAATTTCGTTACAGTTGCTATTTTGCAAATAATAACTTGCAACTTACTATATTCCACACACTGTTTACAACATGCTGTGGTCATGCACTGCAAAACAATGGTTTGGTCAGCGACAGACCACAGATGTGAGATCCCATAAGACTTTTTTTTTTTGTCTTTCTGAGACAGGGTCTCACTATGCAGTTCAGGCTGGCCTTGAGCTCACTTTGTAGCCCACGCTGGTCTCGAACTTGAAATAATCCTCCTGCCTCAGCCTCCCGAGTGCTGGGATTACAGGCGTGCGCCACCACGCCCGGCAATGCTGTAAATTATAATATAGCTAAAAAATTCCTGTGGCCTAGAATTTTTACTGTATCTTTTCTACATGTAGGTATACAAAGTCTCATCACTGCACTACAACCGCACACACCATGCAGGCCAGAAGAGCCGCCTGGGGGCAACAGGCTGCCCCTAACGCCTAGGGGTGTGGGAGGCTGTTCCACCCGGGTATACGCGTGCACAAGGGCACTCTATGACATCCACAACACCTGGAAATCACCTGTGACGTTTCTCGGCACTTACTCCTGCCATTAAGCAATATATAAGTAATCTACAGACTTTCACAACAATCTACGAAGCAAGTGCTATTATTATAATATCCATTTTATAGGTCAGGAAACTAAGGCACAAAAGAAAAAACAGAAGGTGGGGGTGTGGCTCCACAGGAGAGCACCTGACTAGCACGCATAAGGTCCTGGCACCGCAATGAATCAAAAACAGCCCCCAAATGGTGGGAGGAATAGAGGAGGAGTGAAGGAAGAGATATTGGTTATTTTTGCCACTGTAATTGATGTGACTATTGCTGTCATCACCCAAACCTTCAATGATTTGCTGTTTGTAATTACAATACTTGAAAATAAGTATCCGTCTTTAAAAAGGGTATTGTATTATGAACACACTATTGTGCATGAACTTCATACATGAAAACTTTCTGTGTTTTAATTTCGAATCTGTCAATGCATCATGACGTACTATAGAAACAGAAACTATAGATTTAAAGGTCAACATACAGCCCTACCACTGGGCTCATTCTTCTATTCCAGAAAGCCAGACTTTGCAAGGACAGGCAAAGAAAACTCAGTGTGGAACAGAATGTGGCCTTTCCAAAGGTGGATGGATATATAGTAATTACTTATATTCGATGTGGCCTCTAAATGTCTTTGATGATGAATTGAGCATATCAACACGGGGGGGGGGGGTTTCCTTTCCTGTCTTTTGTTTCACAGGACACTTTGCCACAGAGCTACATCACCAGCCCTTTGTTCGAGCCCAGCCTGGGCACCTCTGCAACTTAGTAAGACCCTGCCTCAAAACAAAAAATAAAAGCAAGGGCGGGAGGAGTAGTTTAGTACAAAGACCAAAAAAAAAAAAAAAAAGAGCTGGGAATGTAGCTTGGTGTGAAGGTACTGGCCTCAATCTCTACTACCACTACCAAAAAAAAAGAAAAAAAAAAGGTATAAAACTCCTAGAAGAAAACTTAGAGAAAAACCTCATAGCACTGGTATTAGCAATGATTTCCCAGATGTGACCCTAAAAGCAACCAAGGTAACAATAACAGGCAAAACTACAGCAAACGAAAAAGCTTCTGCACAGCAAAAATCAAACAAACACAAACCCACCAAGAGAGACAATGGCAACTAATGGAACAGGACAACAAATTCTCTTCTTTGGTGTTTAGAACTGAAGCCAAGCCTTCATGCACATTATGCACATAGTCCATGCCCAAAACCCCCTGCAGCCCAGCAACAGGAGAAAGTCTTTGCAAACCAGTATCTGATTAAGGGGTTCATCGCCAAAATACAGAAGGACAAGGAGCTCCTACACCTCAGCAGGAAAAATCAAATAACCCAATCAAAAATACACAAAGACACACACACAGCCAGTGGGCACACAGAGAGATGCCTACCATCACAGATCATCAGGGAACATAGATCAAAACAACAGTATTGCCTCACACCTTTATAACAGTGAACATAATAAAATAAATCTCAAAACTGAAATCAAGAATGGAAAAAAACTCTGCACTGCCGTGTTCATTGCAGATTATTCTCAATAGCCAAGAGATGATGGTAGTAATAACATACATCTCTACTGATAGATGGCTAGCGGAGGAAAATGTGCTATGTCCACAACTTAACCTGTTGTTGTTGTTTTTTTTTTCTTTGAGACAGTGTCACTGTGTAGTTCAGGCTGGCCTGGAACTTGTGATCCTCCTGGGTCAGCTCCAAGTACTGTGCTCACAGGCATGCACCACCACACCCAGCCCTTGTTTTGTGTTTCTATAACAAAGTACCAGAGGCTGGGTAAGTCATAGAGAGAAAAGGCTTATTCAGCTGACACTTCTAAATAAGGGCATGATGCCAGCATGCTCAGCTTCTGGTGAGGGTCTCATGACAGAGGGCATCACATGTGCCAGAGGGCATTGCATGTGCCAGAGCGATAGACTGGTGCATGCAGAAGAGGCCAAAATACCAGGATGCACCTTGCTTTAAAAATCTCAGGCTGGTACTCCCAGTACTTGTTGAAAAGAGAGGGTCAGGGATCAGGGAAGTAGCTCAGTGGCACAAGCACCTGCCTGGCAAACGCAAGGTCCTGAGTTTGATTCCCATACGAGAAGGAAAAAAAAAAAAAAAAAAAAAGGAGAAGCCTCTCTCCATTGAACTGCCTTTTACCTTTATAAAAACTCAATGGACCAGCCGGGCGTGGTGGCACACGCCTGTAATCCCAGCAATCAGGAGGCTGAGGGAGGAGGACCGTTGGGAGTTGAGAACAACCTGGGCTACAAAGTGAGCTCAAGGCCAGACTGAACTGCTAGCAGAGACCATTTCAAAAAGATAAACAAACAAATAAATAAATAAATAAATAAATTTAAAAAAAATAATCTCAGGAAATCCAATGCACTCCTGAGAAACCCATCCTAGCCTCTTATAAGGGCACTGGTCCATTCATAAGGGTGGAGTCCCCATGACCTAAGTATCTCTTAAAGGTTTCACCACCTCTCAACACAATTATATTGGGAATCAAATTTCAACACAAGTTTTAATGGGGTAAAAGCATATCCAAACATAGCAATATACAACAGAAAATTATAATTATTATTCTATTTTTGAGATAGGGTTTCACTATGCAGTTCAGGCTGGTTTGAACTCACTTTGTAGTTCAGGCCAGCCCTGAACTCTCAGCGATCCTCCTGCCTCAGCCTCCCCAGTGCTGGGATTACAGGCGTGCACTACCATGCTCAGCTACAACAGAGAATTATTCAGTCATAAAAAAGAAGGAAATCCTGCCATACACTACAACGTAGATGAACTCTGAGGACACTTACAAGGTATGTAAACTAGGAAAGGAATGGTGGCTGTCAGACACTGGGTACAGAAACTGCTACTCAGAATGCAGAGTTTCAGGCATGCAAGAAGAGTGGTGTAGACCTGCCAAGCAATGCTGCACTTAATGTATCACACACATGAAGACTTTTAAGTGGGTGTGTCTCACGTAGCGTATTTTTACAACTAAACAAGGAGGAAGAAGAAAAACAGGAGGAAGTAGAGGGGAGAAGGAGTATGAGGAGTAAACTTTATATTTCTATTTTATTATATTTTCTATTTTAAAATACATTTTAGGTTCTTTTTTTGTTTTTTGTTTTTTTGAGTCAGGGCTTTGTTATTTAGTTCAGGCTGGCCTTGAACAGACTATGTAGCTCCGGGTTGTCTCCACCTTGCAGCAATCCTCCTGCCTCAGCTTCCTGAGTGCTGGGATTACAAGCGTGTGCCACCAGGCCAGGCTATTTTATTTTTAAATATAATATGTTTATATGGAAATGTTTATATTTTATTTTAATAATTTTTTTCAATATTCTGGATTAAACTTAGGACCTTCACACTGAGCTATATCCCCACTCTTGTTTGCTTGTTTGTTTAATTTGAGACAGCCTTGTTAAATTGCTAAATTGCCCAGGCTGTACTTGAACTCATGATCTTCCTGCTTCAGCCTCCCAGAGTGCTGGGATTACAGGAGTGCACCGCCACCACCCCCAGCTTATTTTTATTAGTCCATGACTGCAGCACAGAGTAGCTATGTTCATCATGGGGAGTTGGTCCATATGCATAACGTATCTTAATTCTTTTACTTCCCTTCCCTTTCACTACCTGTCCCCTGCCTCTATCTTTTTTTGTTTTTGTTTTGTTTTGTTTTGGGGTTTTTTTTTTTTTGTTTTTTTTTTGAGACAGGATCTCCCTATGCAGTGCAGGATGGCCTTGAGCTCACTTTGTAGCCAAGCTGGTCTCAAACTTGCAACGATCTTCCTGCCTCAGCCTCCCAAGTGCTGGGATTATAGGAGTGTGCCACCATAGCTGGCTCCACCTCTTTTTGGTAAACTTTTAAAGCTGAATAGTTAATTCAAATAAAACTTCTTAAAATTAGTTAAAAGTAGTAAAGCACACAGAAAGACCCCGCAGGACTAGGGATGTAGCTCTGGTAGAGTGCTTGCTGAAGCCTTGGGTTTGATTCCTCAGCAGAGCAAATAAATAAATAAGACATGTCCTTATTTAAATAAATCACAAAATAGGTCATAAAAACATCATAGCATTTGGTTTTGTATTTTTTTTCACACTGCAATAGTTAATTTTATTTGTTCAAGAGCTCATATTGCAAGCATCCATCCAAGCCTGGGCTTTGATTCTGTGAGCTCCTATCAGATATTAAGAAAGAAGCAAACTGATCCATGTACACGGATGAAGGCTGAAGGCTTAGATTAGTCACAGGACAGTTTTTAAACTTCTACAGCCTCGAAACAGCAGTTCGAGGTCTGTTAGGTCCTTCTGGATGTCTCACAAGGCATCGGCACCTCTCCTGAGCTAAGCAACCTCTTCCTCCTTCAGCTTCCGG